CTGAGATTAGGCAATATTACGTTAATAATACTATATTAAACTTGTTTAATAGGCACACAATAATCGTATTATTATCATACCAACTAGTTTTTAGATGTGGTAGAACAGTTTTGAAAAATGTGGATAAGGCCAATTTTCAAACGTTTAATGGAGGTTACAAGTTAACGAAAATTATTAAAACTAAGTTTAAGACACCATGAACAGCTTGGCTATACGTTCAAAATGATTGACATTAGACGGGACATGGTAATGGGCCTTTCCGCAAAGCCACGCCCCTTGGATATTGCTGCAGTGGTCCCGCAAAACGACAGTGTTAAAACATACGCATATACTTACTTTTGTGGGGGGGGGGGGGATAACGCGTGTTTGTAGGATACGCCTGCTCCGATTGGTTAGTTGTTAAATCCGGAAAGGTCTGCTATGATGATGTATATAGAGATGGTGGTATTAATTTCGCAATGTTTTTAATAACTCATATCAAATTAGAGGCCCACAGTTCGATAGCAAATAATTATTTAAATCGATCTTAAATGGTACTGATGACTATGATGATGATAATGAAGAAAAATATGATGATGATGGTCGCGGTGGTGAAAATTCTGATGTTGAAGATGGTGGTGTTGGTGGTGATAACCATAAATATAATGATTGGAGATAATAATTGTAGACGATAACGGTAATATAGATATTTGATGATACTAGCATAGGCCTATATGATTAGTAAAATCAGTTAGAATACATTATTAGCTTTTTTCTATAAGTCTAATCAACATATGTTACCAGTAAACTCACTTTAGCATCGAAATGCAATATCTATTACCTGCACAATTATGTATTCAATAAGTTATTATTTTAACGAGATGTCAATACGAAAATAAAATATAGAGTAAGAAATGCATGTACCAGCGAATATTTCAGATGCCTTTACTACGTAAAATGTCCTCGTTTAATTGACTTTAGTAAAGGTGTTCGATATCACCTGTTAACTTGTGATTGGTTGCATTTAATACGTCATATTGGTTGAAACTATTTTATTTTATTTTTGTGATTTTAATTTATTAGATGAATAATAATAAATTGTGTAACAATACACTATTTAAAAAAGGAAGTAATAATTATGTTTCCACATAAACACAATAAGAATAATTTAATTAAACGCATTAGTCGTCATTTTACTGACATACCAAATCAAAAATATATAATAATGAGGGAAATGTGTTTGTTTTTTTCGGACAATGTAATGAAACGCATTAATGTCCTCAAAAAATATGTACAACAATAAGTGCATAATTAACAAATACATAGACCTACAAAATCTGAGAAAATAATAAGAAAATAGGCCTATTTAATATAATTATATCAACATTTTGTCTGATATGTATTCTCCCGCAATGGCTACAATACATACAATCATATATTTCAGGCATTAATCAACTTTCGTCTTTTAACGTCAAATAGAAATGTGCTCAATTTAGATTGTAAACTAATGAAACAAAACCAAATTGTGCAAATTTAAGGCAAGTTAGTTTGTATAAATAATAAGAAAGTAAACATAATTCTCTTTCCTTCCTAAAATAGAGAAAACTAAATATAAATGGAAGCCATCATTGTCTATGATGAAGATGTTTCCCTGTCTTGTTTGGAATGATCGTCACATTATAAATAAGCCGTAGTTCAAATGATATATAGTAGTCGTGAACCGGGATTCAGCAGCTGGACAATCTCCAGCAGTCAGAATCCAGCATCAGAAATTTAATGTATTTCCTACATCTATATTTTTTTAAATAATAATTCTTTATTTGGCCTCATTCTAATCGGAAATCGAAAATTTGGGCTGGGCTCTAGGGGACTAGTCTTAGTGCAGAGCACCTGAGCTAACTGCAAACATAACCGACAGATAAGGATACAAGCATTGTCCTTAACCAGCCGAACTCCCAATGTGAGGGTTATTTGGGGAGAAAGGCGATAAGACTCCAATTAATAAAGCTGATAAACCAAATATCGTAAATTGGTTATTCAGCTTGCTTAAAAACAAATTGCAGTTTGTTAAAATAAATAGAAATCTTTCTAATAATAATATTAATAATAATAATAATAATAATAATAATAATAATAATAATAATAATAATAATAATAATTCTGGATTTATATAGCGCCTCGCGTTGACACAACCTCGAGGCGCTTAACAACAACAGAGAAGAAAAAAAAAAACAAATGCAAATGTACCAAAAAATTATTATCAAATATTTGGGTTTTATTTTTTTTTTTTTGTACCAAATACACAGTACGTCCTTAAATACTAGCCAATAATCAAGATTTTAAAAAAAAAAAAAAAAAAAAAAAAAAAACCTGGCTCGTGTGGGGATCGAACCCACGACCTCGTGTTATTTCACCTATTGTTTCTCTATTCACTACTGTTTTCAGAAGTTTTATTTATTCATTTTCTGTAATAAAATTTGAGGACGACACGGTAATAATAGGTTACATAAATAATGACTCTGTATAGAAATTTAGTGGTTGACTTTGTAAACTTGAGCAAAAAAAATAATCTAAAGTTAACTGTAATTAAGAGTAAAGAATTAATTATAGATTTTTCAACTAAGTGTATTCTCATCTACCCAATCATTATTGATGGTAAAGAAGTTGAAAGAGTAAATGGATACAAATATTTAGGCTGTGTTTTTATTGATAAACTAAAATGGGCTACAAACACAGTCGGACAAACTTGGTAAAAAAGCATGACAAAGAATGTCTTGAGGAAAATGAAGTTCCACAACATAAATTGTGTGCTTTCGACTTTATTTTATTATGCTATGATCAGAGTGTACTTTCGTATTGTCTTATCAGTATTTATGGAAATCTTGATCAGAAGGACAAGAAAAGTATGTCCCGCATTAAAATAGACCAAAAATATTATTAAGGATAGTCTAACCAGCATAGATAATTTATATATTGATAAAAGCGTTAAAGACTGCAAATTGTATTATGAATTACTCAGGCCATCCACTCAGTTACCGTAATTTTTTTTATTTCGCTAAGCCTCCAAAAATGTTATAAGCCCAGTGCCGCTTATTTAAGCATTTACGGTATTTGTCAATTTGTTGAGAATTTAAGAGGCAGGTTTAGTACCAAATCAAGAACAAATCGAACCAGATTATGCATTTGTTGCAAACACAATACATTTAATCAATTCAACTTTTATGCGCTTATTTTTAAATGCTGAATAATTTTACTGGTTTTAACACTGAATCTTTTTAACACTAGTTTACTGGCATGGTAGTACTTTTAATATGTTTAACTTGTTATTTTAACATCTAAACATTTAAACGCTTTGCGCACTCGTCTTTTTAATATTAGGCCTATTCAAAATTTTGTTTTGTTGTACTTTTAAATTTGTCTTTCTTCGCTGGTCTTCTTGTGTTTTAACTTTGAAACGTTATCACGGTTGACTGCCAGACCTTTTTTAAGGTTCCTTCCCGTGTGCCAAAACAAGTTTACATGTACAAACCAGGGAACAGTACTTTTTATTGACTACGCCAAGTGCGAGTTATCTCGTCCGCTGTTTTTATGGGTTGGTATAGCCTATGATCAAAGGGCGTCCCCAATTGTGCCGCCGCTCGAGTGTACTACCAGCAACACAACACAACAAACATACATCATTTGTACGTTATCTTCTAGGCGTATCTTCCCCGAACTACCTACCGTTGAGTCTGTGGTTCTACAATGTATAACAAAGAAGAAGTAATAAACACTAGAATGTTACCCGATTTTGACGAGTATACTCGTTGCTGGCGCCCTCAGCAACAGATTTTAAAGATTTCTTTTATTTTCCACAAATAACATAAAAATATAAAATATATGTGGAGGAGGCTATAATAAAATCATGTGCTGCGCAGAGCACAGATCTTTAGGCTAATATCCCCTTTATCAAAAAGCAAAATAATAATAATAATAATAATAATAATAATAATAACAATAATAATAATAATAATAATAATAATAATAATAACAATAATAATAATAATAATAATAATAATAATAATAAAGTAATAATAATAATATTAATAATAATAATAATAATAAAATAATTATTATTATTATTACTATTATTATTATTATTATTTGCAATATTTAAAAAAGTCAAATAATAAAAATTATGTAAATTTAGTTGGCAAAAAGAAAGTTATTCAGTTAAATTAAAGTAAATTAACTGGACTTAAGAAGTTAAAAAGATAAACAGCCTGTGGGATGAGTATACTCTACTCTGGGAGCCAACGTTACCGGACTTTTTATCTTCAAGCATTTCATACTTCTGGTCATTTTAACATTTTTTAATTATTTTTTTTTTCGTCGATTTCTCCTTTACTGTTTTATCTTTTTAACATCTTAAGTCCTTACTTTAATTTAACTGTTCCCTGGTATAGCCTTAAAATAAAATGGAGGAATATTCTTTAAAATAACGTTGTTATTCAGGTTAATATTTGACATACGGACGTGGGGCTGTCTCTTATACACACTTTTAAATATTAAAAAAAAAACTGTATCTCATTAACCGTTTCTGTACGTCCCGTACTTTAGATTCGTGACGTTGTAGAACAAGAAATAAGCCTACACTCACCTGGATGAGATAACCTGTTACAAAATAGACATTAGGATCACTTGTTTTTTGGGTTTTTTTTTTTTTTTTTCAGAAGTAGGCCTATCCTTTAAGGTCAACTCAGACAGCGTCGTACGACGCAGCCCTACGCGGTTTGTTGTCGCGTCGGGCTGTAAGCCGTTTTATCGTTTTAGTCGTTTTAACTGTAATTCAGAGGTAAATGATAAAACGACTTGCCATAGTCTGTGTAGGTTTGCGTCGGGGGTAGTCGCATCGTAGATTATTAAACATGTTTAATATTTCTCACGACGGCTTAAGACTGTACCCGACAATGAATCTCGTCGGGCTGCGTCGTATGATACTAGTGAGCTTACGAAAGAAGACACGGCCAGTTCTACGACGACCTAATGACGCCTGGACACAACTGCGCATGCCTGATTTCGATTTTTCAACTTTTCTTCGACGTGAAATTTGGCAGAAAACGGCAACGTGAATTTTGTTTTGTTCAACTGCGCATGATCGATACACACACTTTGCACGTTTTATTTACTTAGCGTTAGGCCTAGGTGCGGGCTATTCAAGCAAATTGATTTAACTACAATACAAAGATAAGTAGAATTTCTATTAATTATGGTTATGCATGAAATTATAATGCCACTATAGGCCTGGCCTAGATCGAATGTAGAGCACAGGCCTGTATTTCCTTAGCATACTGTAGTAATTATAAAAGACTTGTATTGTAGGCCTAGTCGTACTCGGATCATGAGATTGAGAGAGCAAGGTCCTTCCTTCCTACCTGAGTCTACTACTTCTGGGCAGGATACCCGACATAGCCTAGATGCCTAGACCCTAATTAATAATAATAATAATAATAATAATAATAATAATAATAATAATAATAGTACTGTAATAAGTATATAGCCTGGGCTGAGGCATATAGGCCTATTCCCAAATCAAAAATAAGGAAGGAATGCTCTACCTCCTTGCCCCATTCAACAAAATAAAATAAATACAAATATTAATTTATGTGTATGACATAAAGTTTATAAATATAATATACAAAATTACCATAAAATATTTTTTAAACAATTAAAAAAGATATTCAGTTATAAAATGCATTAAAATGTAGTTGCTGTGCATAGAATATGATAAAAAGTGTTTATAAAAAAAAATTACAGTGACAAAGTTAAAAGCAACACTTTTATAAAATACTGCAAAAAAAAAATAAAATTCAATTGAAGGGCAAATTATAATAAAATGATATCAAATTACCTGAATGAGCCTTTATAGTGGATAAAGGATAATCACAAACTCATCCTTAAATTACTGGATTTGTGAGGCAGCTAGTGTGGAGAAATTTTATGTGATTAAGATGTCTGTTATTTTAATTATATTATTTATATTAAGGCTATACTTTTTATAATATGCATTTAGCCACTCAATCTCTCCAAGGTATTTCAACCTGTTTTCCACACTAATTAAGCCCATCATTAACATATTTAATCATTTTAATTCATTAAAGTCATTTGGATGGTTCTTTATTTTAGATAATATTGTACATGTATCTCAATGAATTTTTAAATATATACTGTATTTTCATATATTAGTACCTACTTTCTGTCTTTTCAATATTTTCTTATGGATGGTTATTAATAATGTAATAATATATTTATTATCATTTAGTTTTTAGATGAAACAGAAGACCATTTATTTTGAAGTCTGTGGCTGAAGAATCAAGTAGGAAAAGTACTAATATACCAATGTACTAATAATTAGGTATTGCATTTGCCCTAAACTCTATTACCTACATTTTTTACATGCATTTTTGTTAAAAAATGGAATCCCTTGTGACACTAGGATGAAAAAAAATAATAGAACCATTCCAATAACCTCAATGTTGCTTAACCGAAATTCAAACATGGATGTCTATGCTTAAACAGAATCCCTTATTTTTCTGTTCAGGCACCCCTTCTCCGGACTCAGTTAAAACCCATTTCTGTCAGAGTCTGCAAATTTAGTTCTATTTAAGAAGAATCTCAAAATTATGTTATTTTCTAAAGCTTAAGTCTGGTTTATTTTTCACTCTGATGATTTTTAAATTGGCACATTGAAAATGTCTACATTATTATTATTATTATTATTATTATTATTATTATTATTATTATTATTATTATTTTTACTACATTATTCACTAAATTTATTACATGAAAACTATGTATTTTTAAAAAGAAATGTATGCAGAAAATAATCTGTATTCTATGTTAGAATAATTAGCTCCCTGATTCTTATCTTTACTCTAAATTTTTAAGCCTGATAAGTGTACCTGAAAATTTTGAAAGGGTTCTTTTTTTCTTTTACAGATGGATTATCAAACATCCTGCACTGGAATAGAATACATGCAGCAAGTGAATAATATTACATACATAATTTGCTTGAGGAGTTTTACCAAAAAAAATAATAATAATAATAATTTAAGTAGTTTTCTATGCTCTTGACTTACATTTTCTTTGTATTAACAAAATGCACAATTCCATAACTAGCTAGAATCAGTGCTTGGTAAAAAAAATTACCCAATTTAATTTGTTTAATAATTCAGGGATAACATTGCAAAGTGGTAGCCATTTGGCTTGAAATGTTTGCATTACACAAAACAGACATAACTCTTAAATAACAGTAGACTGTCTGTCAAGAATAAAAATATATATGTTGTACAAGCATGATACACAAATTACTGTACAGACTAAACATGTATTGTTCACTGAAAATTGAGAAAAAAGATCATTTATTAAATATACTCATTGTTAATAATTTATTTTTATTTAAAATGAGATAATTTCAAAAATGATTGTTAGGATTTTTGTGTATTTTGAATGGGACAATACAAAGAATTATCAATAAGTTAATTAATGAAATTTAAATAACCATTAAAAATATATAAATACTTACATCAATAAAGCTTGCAAACCAGATTATTATTATTATTATTATTATTATTATTATTATTATTATTACTATGAATAACATTATAATAGCATAATATGCCACTATTAAAAGGATAGAGTGTGTGTTTAAGATTTATTAAATATATTCAAACTTCAGAACATGTATAAAATAAGAGATAGCAATTAATAATACCGGTAATAATAATAATAGAGGTTGTACTGTATAAACATTGTTCTATCTTATGGTTCAATGTTGCCTGAATGAAAGCATCCAGAAATAAAAATTGTCAAAGTTTTGATCCATTATACCTCTTGTGACTTATTGTTTTTCTCCTTTCGAAGATGAAAGAATAAAGGTTATAAATGTTGAAAATTTGCCTGCCTCTCTTTATTTGTGTTTGCCATACATGTCATACCAATACATTTTAATAAACATACATTTTAAACTCAACTGAATATAATGTACTTAGTCAGGGTACATCAAGTGGTACTAAAACACTTGAAAACTTTAAATTTAATTATTACTCAATATAAACTTTTCTTTTTAAGTTGTAAAGTACTGTATTAATACTACATTTAAAGTGTGTAATTATTTTGTAATCATGTAAGCATGAAATTCTCCACCATGGTATAAGTAAGAAATAACAGCTGTATATTTAAACTAATGCTACTGTACATGATGTTTTATGGAAAACTTGGTATAAATAATAGGCATCATCGGAAGGATGTGGAATAATTAACAGTCATACAATAATCAATCAATTGAAAAAAAATAAATGTTAAAGTACCTATTATTACTACTGGTTATTCAGGGTATTTCAAGAGAAAAATGAAGCCATTGGAAAAGCAAAGCAGACAGAACATGTTTACGGTACTAATATTTTTGCAATCGTCAAAAAGTCAGCCTAGGCCTAAACCCTTAGAAATTCGCTATTTCGGTTACAAAGGACATGCCGTTTTACCGAGAGCTCTGTTTACTTCATTTCGCCTTTGACACGGTCATGCGCAATTGAATACTAAAAAATAAATTGCCGCGTCGTGTTATCGTAACGAATTTACTTTTAGTTCGCGGACGGGTCTCCGCGTTGTCTTCACGCTCCATTGGGTCGTCGTAGAACTTGGCCGCGTCTTCTTTAAAGCTCCCTACTGTCTGAGTTGGGCTTTAGCCTCTACTGGTTTTCTGACCCATCAAATAACCACTATTTGACTACTATTTTTCAGCAGTGCACCAAAAACCTGATAATATTTTTCTTTCGTAATATTGTAACAACATTTAACAATTGAACTTAGAGAAACAGATGAAAGACTTCATACCAGTATATTTTATATAATAATGTTGTTTGTCACACAGCAAATTATTTTGATAACCAATTTATATATCCAGAATGTAAAATGAATAATAGCTTTTCATTAGAATTACATTCATGTAGGCCTACCTGTATTATTAACATTAATCAATGTAACGGTTAAATGAGAACTTAACGGTTCGAAGTTTGATCGATATTTAATGAAGTAATTTTAGTGCCGGAGATTATGCGAGGTTAGAGCCTGGTGCATGCGTAGATCAGTATTGAATATATTAAAAACACGAATTACCTTTTCTATAAGGTGGAAAGGAGGGCACATAATCTCTACCACTAAAATTACTTCATAGGTCTGATTCACCCGAGGGACAACCAACTCTGGTATGTTTGCTGGGGCGGGATATTTTTCTTGGGTTTCCTCAATTATTTTTTTCGTTGAGTTTTTCTGAATAACAACATTCACCGTTTTGGTACATTTTTTAAATGAGATCTGCTAGATCTGAAACGATTCATTATCACCGGTTTTTCAGTGCTTTTTCAACTTGTTAATTTTCATAGATGATAATGTCATTATTATTAGCATTATCACAAATCAGGCTAATGTCGTCCTGCGTTGCTAACATTGGCATTATGTATCAACAGTTGCTGAGTCAGCAACTGTAACTGATTTTCTATAGAACTCATTCGTTCATCATAATCATCAGTCTTAGGCATATGCCTACAGTTTGTCTTAGAGGTGAAAGAAAGTCTATCCTTCTTAGGCCCTTTTGGAGTGTCCCTATCAGCCTTACTCATTGTGTCTCAAGAACGCTTTCGCGTCATTGTTGCGTTAGCCGTAGAAAGTATCGGCAGTGATGTTCCCAAGGTTAAGCCCGAGGTCAATTTCATCGTTTAGGCCTGGGCGGCCTACATTTTGAGCGGGAAAAATTGTTTTAACGTAAGATAGTAAATTTGATTTTGGGCGAAATGAGCGGATACAATTGATCAGCGATTAGAAAGCGGCTTTTTAAATAATTTTAGATAGTCAAGATTAGATGGGCATATAGGCCTAATAACAACAAAGGGTCTGAGCACAATGGTCTTTGATATGAGTACATTAGCAGAATTATCCAAGTATTATTATTATCACGTCACATTAGAGCCTTCATTTAGGTTGTTACCGGTATATTGACATCCAGTGTGTTTTATTATTTTCAAATATTTCAAACTAAACATAACATATTTGGTTGATATAATCAGGAATCTGTAATAATAGACTCTCATATTTTGACTTGCAAGTTGTAAAATCCTTAAAGCAAGCAAAGTGTTCAATACAACTGTCACGTATGTCTTACATGCTGATTAAATTGTTTTTTAAATATTTATTACAGAAAGTGTAGTACCGTACGTTTGCATTTAAACAGTATGGCATAGGCCATGATTTGAATTTCCTGGTTAAGTTGATATATATGTGATGTTAAGACGCGTCCACGCATTTCTAGTAATACAGCTGTGTCGGACCATGGACCTATGAATACGATGACATAATAAATTAGATTTTGGGCGAAGCGGATACAATTTATTAAAAAGAGGCTCTCAGTGGCGTAACTACCACAGGTTCAGCAGGCTCGTCGAACCTGGGCCCCTAAGCTCCAGGGGCTCCCGATCTATAAGGGCCCCGCTCCCTTATAAAACATCTAATAAAGCAATGCATAAATACAAATCTAGATTGATAGTATATATCTTTATATAATATTGCAAATTATAAGTTAAAATTTCCTAGCAGTGGCGTAACTACAACAGGTTCAGGCAGTTCATTGAAACTGGGCCTCAAATCTCTAGGGCCCCCTTATAGAAAAAAACCCAGTAAAGCAATGCATAGAAAAATATTGATTAATAATATTTATCCTTATATTCTATACTGAATTTTATCATTTAAAATTGTTAATTTAACTTTAAAATAATAAATTATACATGTCAATGCACCTATGCCCATTTGTAAAAATTGTCACTCAAACGCCGATCTCAGTGGAACAGATCGTCATTTATGCATTCATGAAAGCCTGACCACCAATATAAGTTACCAACAAATATCGCTTGTCATCGAATCTATCTGTCCTATGATTGTTGGGGCGCTTGTCCCTGTACCATGACAGGGGCACTTTGGGGCTCATTAATTCCAGCTTGAACTCACTTCACTTTAGCCTGCATTATCATAGTGTACTTACCTGTCATGACACTTACGCTTTCAGGCCCTATCTCAAGCTCTTTTTGTGAAATTTCATACTTTTTTTTAAATAATTCACAATAGAAATTGCAGTTTCATGTGTAAAAGTCTGCTTGAATTTAGATTGCACTAACGATAGTGTCGGTTATTTTTCATTATTACAGATTATTGTGGTGGCTAAAGGTTTCTAATTTTCAAATCAAGACAATTTCAAAGTCTGATGGTGCCTTTTCCAGACATCTTGGGTGCTGTAAATTAAACAAAGCCGCACCTCACCCCAACCAAGGTGGGGCTGAGGCGGCTATGAAATTTCAAGTCAGCAGATATATGATGATAGTGTCTCCATCACTCATTCATTTCATCTTCATCATTGTCGTCGTCGTCATCATCACTTCATCATCCTATAATTATTCTTTTTTTTTTCTTGCTATCTAAATAAAAAAATAAAAATAAAATCTTCGGGTAGGACAACTGTAAAATCAACTTCATTCAAACAACGATCACCTGTCTCCACCGTCCAGCATAAAAAAGCTAAACCCTTGGATTTTAGTGCTCTATTATTAATAACATTCACTTTGTCGATAATTCGTCTGTTTGACAATATTTGACTACTGTAAATAATTAAAACTGCTTACAAAGAAATCGGTATAGACCTACCAAAAGCAAACACATTACATGAGGGTTAATGATTTATTTAGAAACGTAATACAATTCAATAGTACATACGATCTCCAGCAAGAGAATCAAGTTGTTAATGTCTCAAGCCGAATTAATTCGACAAGAGAAAAGCATACCAGACTGTCCTTTACTTATAGTTCAAAAGATAATAAATTAAGATTTACTGTAGTTTAGTTTATTCTGAAGATTTTATTTAATTGTGGAGCCCATTGGAAGAGCAGTGTTTTTCACTGAGAGGGCTACTCTATTGATAGGAATGGAAATAAACTATGCGGAGATACCAGTGCTGGTTCTTATCAACCCAAACGCAATAATTATGACCTTTTTAGGTTTCTTTCTCTTTAAATGATCATAGTTACAATATTGGTACTTTTACTTTCAGCTTAAAAGAAAAATAATAAATTTTACAATACATCGATTTCATGGGAATGATGTTTGGCGGGGATGGTATTAGTATGGCTTACTTCAGTGACAGAGTAGTAATTGCTAATTTATATGCGTCAAGGGCCCCGACGGTATCTCTCGAATCAGGGCCCCTCAGAACCTAGCTACGCCACTGCGGCTCTTTAAATAATGTTATATATTATATATTAAATGGACATTTAGGCCTAATTCAGCAAAGGGTCCAGTGAGCACAGTTTGGTATTATATGAGTACTTTACATTAGTTGCAGATACACCGTATGCAATTTATTATTATAATCAAGTAACATTAGATCCTTCAGTCTGTTACCGGTATATCAACATCCAGACTGTTTCAACTTAATATTTCAAAGTAAACATAAAAGAAGCTGATTTATTTATGTTATGCAACTTGTTTTGTTTGTATTTTCTTATGTTAGACATGAATTTCAAAAAAAAAAATGAAAAAAAATTGAAAAAGAATTTAAAAATCTATTTGTTTTTAGGCCTATTATATTGCATGACGGAGGATCATCTAAGATGGATGAATCCTTCACGTAACCTCGTCTATCGTAAAGCAGATAGTGGTGGCCAGTGGACCATTGTATGGGCATCATTTTGCGAATTCTCAGCTTTGCAGCATCGGGCGAAGTTTCGTAGCTTACATAGTGGAATTTTAATTGAAGAACTATTTAGTATTGTACTTGCAGACTGGTAGTAAATGTAGGCCTATCAAATCAATCAACTGTTTTATTTTTGCATTGCTTCAACTACAAAGCCCATACAATGACTGAATCGCGACCGGAGCATATGATCATTCAGCCTGACAGACAGTGGCGTATCTAGAAGTCTTGAAATGGGGGTGCTAAAATGGGGGACGTGAATGCGAAGTGGGGGAACGATGAGCAGTTGAGGGGCGCTAATTCGCCAAATAAGGTGATTTTAGGTGATTTCTAACTACCTCTTAATATTGAACAGACTATCAATCACTTGTTTTATTCTTGCGTTGATTCTAATACAAAAGCTAAATCCCGAGGCCATAAAAGTGAATGGTGCGTCGTATGTCGTTCTTTCATAATCAAAATAGCGCATGCGCAAAATATGTTCTATAAGGATAGTTTCAATGAGATTTTACCAAACTATCCTACGTTAATGAAATTTGCGCCGGGGAACGTGAAAGTCTTTCATTCATTTTCTATATCTAGGCATAGGCTTATGTGTACTTTAAACACTACCGTATTAATGTGATTTTTTTTTTTTTTTTTTTTTTTTTTTTTGTTGATTTGTGCCAGTAATTTTACTAAACAAATTTTTATAGAAAATGTTTTGCAATGGTAAAAGTTTTTTTTTTTTAATAAATATGGGAACACGCGCTTCGCTCACTAAGCGCCAGGCTCGAATCTCACAATAATCTCCAACACGAATTACCAATTGAAATAGTTAATATTGCGGAGTAATAGTAGAACGTAATGGCGTCACATAAAGTCATCTGCGCATGCGCGACCGTCGAGTTGTTGTTTCGTGGATTCTAGGACGCAAATTGGCCAAATCTGTTGTTCAGAAAAAGTAGAAAGGTCATGCATGAGAAGGCCTAAATCCGTTTTTAGCGTCGCGTCGTTGCGCAAATCGAAAGCTCCCTATTACCATGCGCATAAGTACGTAAACAACATTTTTAGACAGGGAATAATATCGAAATATTGATCCTTAAGTACAGCCACCTATATGGATTTCATACTGTGCTAAAATTGAAATGTGCCAAATTTAAACAGAAGTGTCTGAAACCGAATGGTTGATTGCAGTGAAACATTTCAGAAGAAATAAACCATTAGATTTTATATAAAGAGCAAGCTTGCAATATATTTTTTTAATTTCCATTCATAACCCAAAGTATGAGCAGACAATTTATTTCAGACCAGATTATGATGTCATAAATCGTATGTGTCCGATTGGTACGCCTTATTTAGATATAAAGTATGTAGCGTCTACCGTAGAGGATACAAAAATAAGTAATTTTTACTATTGTTTAGCTGAATAACAAGTGAAGAAAAAATTTCTGTATTTAGTTGTTTTTGACACTGACGAAAATTCATGAATAAAGAAAAGTGAGTACAGTATGATTGGCTAATTAATGTGACTCCTTACTGAACCTCCCGCCGCTACTTGTAGGCCTATAATATTATATATATATATATACTGTCTCTTATACACATCTAGATAGGCCTACATGTGTTTATATGCTTTGGTTAGGAATATAGGAAATAGGCCTATATACACAGAATTTATGTTAACGTACGTATGTATATGCATGAGGCATATAGAATAGACATATATTGCAAACGTTAAAGAAGAGGAATCCGTAACCCGGTAACACGGCCGTAATCATCATATAGCCACAGATACTCTCGTTAAAAGTTAAAAAAAACTTTTACCATCATACACTCGGTAAACTTTTCGTTTAACTATGGTAATGTCAGACTCTGTAAACCTTTCGTTTAACTATGGTAATGTCAGAAACAAATTTACCAATGAATTATTCATAACATTGCACAGTGGTTGCCTACGCACCAAAAATAATAATTGATACAAATATGATAATAGTTAAACTAACACTGACATCCAATACGAAATCAAAATTGAATGCAAACATCTACTATTATAGTATGCGGGTAGGTGTAGGGCGATAATATTATATTACTATGACATATCATTTTGAAAAGGAATACATGCAATCCGTTTTATATAATTAACGTTGCTGGTACATACTTTCAGGCTGAGAGGACTATATAAAGTTATAGCTGTCTCAGTTTAAGGTAAAAGTTCAATTAGAACAGTTATACGTATATCAACCGTTTAAGTTATCATTTTCATCAGTCGCTGCCACGATTTACCTGTACTTGTCGAATTTTTTTCTCTAATCTTTATTACAGCTTCATCTTTTGTCATTAACAATATTGTTAAAGTAATTATGAACAATTCTTTTCATCATCATCATCATCATCATCATCATCATCATCATCATCATCACCATCACCATCAACAACAACATTACCATCACCAGTATTATCATTATTATTATCATCATCATCATCATCATCATCATCATCATAATTATTATTATTATTATTATTATTATTATTATTATTATCCTATGCATTATCAATATAAAACAGTAATCATCATTACCATTATCATTGTTACTGGTCATTATTAATATGACCATCACCAATAATATCATCATTATCATCACAATTATTTTCATTATTTTCCTCCTTATCGATCATCACCATCGTCATCACATATTAATCATAAGTGAACATTAGTATGAAATAATAATTAATTAGTATTAGATGAGGTTTATACATTTTTTTTAATATAGAGAGCAATTATTAGAGTTACAGTATCAGTATTAACATAACTGAGATAAACAGCTTTAAACTTCAGTGTGCTTACATAAGTTACACAGTTCACGCATGAATGCACACATCAAGAAACGAAGTTCGCTAGCAACCAGCAACCAACCAAAATATTATAATGCATGAGAATTACAAATTATATAATTAATTGCGTCCTTCAATATTGGTTTCTTCTCAGAAATCGAAGTCATTCTTTTCCTTTGATGTTTGCGTGTGTCATATGCCACTGGATTTCTGGGGATGTTTGCGGTGTGATCTGTACTACCTCAATGCGGACTTTCCTTTTTGCGGTAATGTGATTTATTATAGTTTTGTGACTTGTGAGTAATAATAATAATAATAATAATAATAATAATAACAATAATAGTGAACGATTCGTGTCATTTGAGATTTTTCTTGATTTTAAGTAGTGGTACTGTATGTAAGTACTACACTTTTTAATCACACAAGCCACTAGGCCTTTATTTTTTTTCTAAATCTAAAAAATAGTAATAATAATAATAATAATTATTATTATTATTATTATTATTATTTTGTTTAGTTTTTGATTCCCTTCTTTTCTTCTTTAAAAATCCCCTGTTGCAAATGGCTAACGTTCCCACAATGTCACTTTACGTTACACAGATGATACACTACACATGTACTGTATATTTGTTTGACCAAGCCACAGAAATAATTGTAAATTTCTAAAAGCATGAATACTGTTTAACAAAATATGAATATAAATTTTTCACAAATCTTAAGCCCAATTTGTCAAACAAAAATCTGTGTTTTCTTTTCTAAATTTTGCCACGAACCACAATCTCCATTCCTCTGTATTGGTGAACCCATCTTATTCCTTCTGTCTGTTGTTTGGGTGTTATTCTTGATGAATCTATTACATATATTCCTTAAGTTTCTTCCATTTGTAAGTCATACATACAATACACCTTAAATCCCCCTGAAGATTAAAAAAGCATATTATTATAATCATGTACCCGGTGGCGTATTTACTGAGAGACTTGGAGGTACCATCTTCCAAAAAAGCTCGCAACCCCAAGCTCCCCCAACTACACATTTACAAAAAAAAGTAGGCCTACGTTCAAGTAGTTAAAAATCACTTCACATTATTTTGCCAGCAGACGCCCCTCAATTATTATCAGTTATTATATGTCAATCGTGACGTCATCACTGTAACTCCTCAATGCTGGAAATGGTTATTTTCCTATCAGAAGCCTGCACTAATATTTTATTAATGCACCGTTGGCTTGACCTTTTATCGATTCGTGTGCAAAAGGTCAAAACAATGTTTCGCGGCGTCGCAACGCGATGAATATTCTAGGCATGGTCTTTTTACACAAGCACGACGCGCGACTACGGAAAGACAGACAGACCCACGCCCTATCGCGATAGTCGTTTGTTCACAAGTGCTAATTATAAACATTACATATAAACTTCGAACAAGGTAAACTATAACCCAATAAAGTCACTTTAAATTTAATATTATGTGTGAAAATTTAAGAAATTTCTTGAATCAATGGACCCTAATAATCTAAAGAAACTTCTTTTTATTTTGATTACCGGAGGCCTCTCTAAACCTATTGTAAAGATTCAAGGAATGTATTGAGATGTATTTCTCCTGCTTTAACAATAAGGAGGTCGAGGCTTAGGCCGTAGCCTAGATGAAATCATCACAGGATTTTACCTGTCAACACTGAGACCAAAAAGTGATTAATGTATTCTCTCAAAAGCTCGAGAAATGTTTACTTATTTGGCGAATGTCTATCATAATAGTAAACTCATGACAAGTTGTTTAAACACAATCAAGTGTTAACGCGAACTGCAGCTATCCGCATACGCACAGCTAACTACTGAACAAGTTACTCATACAGTACACATATCCACAAATTTGGCACTGACAACGGTCGTAGTAGCCTACGTCAATCAACTGTTGAAACTTCTTTGAGTACGGCGAGCGAGGTTTCTAATAATATTTGCCTTTTAATGTCGATTTCAAAAATAATAATAATAAATATTTAAGGCAAAAATTCATCCTTGGGGCTATGGAATAATTTATGAAATAAAGATACCAGATATATATTATAATACCCAATTTATTTTTGTAGAGTAAATATTGACCCTGGTCAATTTTTTACCCTTAAGTCTGATGAAGGCCTACCTTATACCAGAGGGCACTTACTAAGCCAATGTCGCACACAATAACACGTTCACATTTCTTTGATTTACATACAATTAGCACTTGGAACTCCTAGCCTAACCATATTGTAACATCTCCTTCAGTCAACGCATTTAAATTTCACTAGGACAAACATACAAATGATGTAAAGAGAAGAAGCAGGCCCCACGAGTTACAAAACTAATTTTCGCTTTAATATCAGGATTAGGTAAGCACTCACTAACGTAATCAAAGTATGCATTTATAATTAAAGTAAATAGTACTTAACGCTAGAGCACCAGTAACAAATAACGTCACGAAGTTGTTTTGTTTTGGATCACCACAATATTCGTATTATTATTTGTATTTACATTTTGGATTATTATTTCGGAAAGCTGGTGGTATTATCAATAATTTGGAATATAATTATCATAAATTCCTTTATATAGACTTGACATATCAGGAGCATTGGCACTGACAACGGTCGAAGTACACCAATCCACTGGTCAAACTTGTTTTCAGTACGGTAAGCGAGGTTTCTAATAATATTTGATGATGCATACATACATGTTAGCATTTGAGCTTTAGTAACTGTGAATTTACTTTACTAGTTAAAGATATAAGCGCTGAAGAGAAAGAAAACATTCATTATAATTGAAATAATTGTTTTATGAAACATGTAAATTCGGCTCCTTGATGTGCACGTACACACGTATCAATAATTTATCATTTTGACTATAGTGATATAAAGAATATTTGGTTATATATGTGTTAATGATAATTACAATGGTAAACTTATTATAGGCCATGTCTTGATACTTTTCAATTGATCATTTCGTGTTTTGTTTTGTTTTTTTTTCATTTTTTGTCGATTTACCTTAGTTATTTTAATATGGTTCCATCGTCTGTATTATATTGTTTATTATATTTGTATGAGTTTGATGAGAATATGCCAAATGATGGAAAATTATGCTAGAATTTTCTGCTGGGAGAGGGGAATACTAACTTATGATATCATCCAATATAGCATACAACACTCTTTTAAAACACCTTGATCAGAAGTATAAAAAACAAACTTGAGGGAATTGTTTAGAACCCCTAAAATGCTGGTGATGGAACGAAAGATTATGGTTCTAGCATTTCTAGGTGGCCAGAATGGCAGTCTCAGAGATAATTTAATGTAATCTTCATTTATCCTGCTAATATTTTTAATTTTCAAAAATTTAGGATAGGAGATAGGCCTATTCGATTATCTGAAAAAAAACCATAAAGGCAACAAGGTCTTGTCAAGGGTTCAGAGGTGAAGCAAAAAAATGCTGGTGATGGAACGAAAGATTATGGTTCTAGCATTTCTAGGTGGCCAGAATGGCAGTCTCAGAGATAATTTAATGTAATCTTCATTTATCCTGCTAATATTTTTAATTTTCAAAAATTTAGGATAGGAGATAGGCCTATTCGATTATCTGAAAAAAAACCATAAAGGCAACAAGGTCTTGTCAAGGGTTCAGAGGTGAAGCCTGTAGCTATAGTCGCAGAGGCATTTCAGGATGTTAGAGGTTTTAATAATTATTCTATTTCATGAGAAAATTTGGTATATACAAAGCGTTTATATCGTAACAGATGATGAACGGAGAAATCTGCCGCCGAATTCTGCTTTCCTCTGTTTCTTTTCATTTACTGTATTGTGTTAGTCAATAGCCGCTGATGAGCAAATTTTAATGACTCCTCCGAATCTTTTCTTGTTTTTCTTTTCCGTGTACTTTCACATGGGATTCAGATCCATATAGTGTCCTCCACCTTGATTTCTGTCAGTACTTTATTCATACTGCTGTATCTGCCATCACTTAATAGCACTTCATGAAATAACACTGTACAATACAACTTCCGTTTAATTACATTTATTTTGATTTCATATCATAAATGTTTTGTGTTTGCATTGTATATTAATTATTGTTACAATCATAGTTTAATTATACTCCAACTCTTTCTTAGGCCAATTAAATAAAATAATATGAAGAATGTGTGTTTTATAGTATGTGACGATGTGTCTCCTTGACAGATACGGTATATACGTAAATATATTGATATATTTCTAGAAAAATATAGCTAAAATGTGGTTTTATAAGGTTTGTGTAGATTTAGTATTATTTGATATTCGAATCCTGCGAAGAGTGCAATTACGGCATATTTTGAAAATTTTCGATAAACATGCATGCTACGTTCATTTTGGCCCTACACATTGCAAGCTTAAAACTTAATGAAACATGTTAGACATCAATAAAATGAAGACTGCACAACCAAAAAGCCTCTTAGAACTATATTGGCTGTCATACTACTTACAAGAAAGACACTGCAGAAGTTCAATAACAAGATTGTGATAAAGTTTGAGTGCCAAACAAGCGGTTGTTCTCTCAAATAAAATATAAACACGATCAATGCTTCAGCTATCCTTTCCCAACTCGCGTACAAGCTATACTTTTAAGTGATTTTCATAGTACATAAATGTTGGCCTTATTCACAGAAATAGACAACATGGCTTAACCTAATGAGAGTTACCTATGGATACTAAAATTTGTATTAATAAACAGCAGATTTTGGCTTTGTTCAAGCAATTAGGTTAACCATAATCTTAACGAAGTAGCTATGCTTACTCCAAAGAAGTTTAATTTTCCAATTAAAACAGTCTTGGGCACCTATATGTAAAAACGATTTGTTGTATTTTGTACTTAAAAAATTACAAATCAAATAGACATTTCACCAATGTACGGTAACTTTCATGACGGTAAGTAGAACGAGATTAGTCAGTTTTCACTGAATTGGCCACAAAGCGTAGTTGTCTTTAGTCACTAATGTGTTGTTATAGTGATTTTAAGTAGTCTAAGTCATTCTATTGTATAGTATAATATCATAGTAATACCTATCCACTGTATCAACTCTTTAATTATTAACTGAGAATTTTTTATCCCTGCTATTCTTCATAATACTTCTGACTCGGCATAATCATAGCCTGTCAAGACTGCGTAGGCCTACGCCAATGTGCTCATTCTCATTACATCGTCTGCATATTATATTATTATTACGCCTCAGCGTAACATTTGGCTATTTCGTAAACCCGCCGTGCCAACCCTTATCCACCGTGCCCGAATTTATGTAGTTTCTAGGTATGCGCTAGGGTTTTGCGCCGTAAACGCAATCGAGTTTGTAGAAAGAAACTTAATCAATGGTTGAACAATAGGCAATGTTAGACATCCTACTTTAATTTTAAACTAGGACATATGACGAGACAAGGCGGCTATCTTAGGCTTATTTTTTAATGGAATTTTTAAGTTTGTTATTGCTATTATATCAGCCAGCCGAGGCTGCAACGCGGGCAACCTAAAACACTATAGATCGGAGACAAAATTTTTAGGGCAAGACATGGGCTATGTTGTAGGCCATAGGCTATATCGTCGCCTACTATACTAGCTAGGCATAGGTCCTAGCAAAAGTTCCCTTCTCCTCCATATTCATAATCTTTTGGAGGTTTTGTTTTTCTAATAATATTTCTTCTAAACCTTTTTCTTCCTGTTGTGAAATCCCTGTCAAAGGTTTTTCGCATATTTTAGATTACTCTCTAAGATCGTCAAAATCGAAAGCCCCTTCTTAACCCTCGTAAGAAACAGGGACGCGACACGCGACACGCTTTTCACAAACTTGATTGCATTTATGACCCAAAATTCTAGCACATGCGTAAAAACTAAAAAAGTTTGGACACGGCGGGTTTACGAAAGGGTCAAATGCCTTTGCGTAAGCATAGTCACGGCATTCTTTTAGAGATGTGTTAATATTTATGGTATTTATAGTTATTGATTTATGTTAAATTATTGATTTATGTTAAAAATTATATACTCCTTAATCAATCATCTATTCAATCAATCAATCAAATTCATCAATTTTGATTATAGGTTGATGTGTTTGTTATTTGAAGATTTTAGATGACATATACATTCCTTCAAGACAACTTCCTTCTAGCACAAAACTGCTTCTCAATCATTTTAAAGTTTCAACCAAATCATATGGAGACCGATCCTTTCAACATGCATTGCCAAAGTTTTGGAATCAGCTACCAAAGAATGTAGTGGATTGTACATCAATTACATCTCAAATTACATCTCAAAACTCACCTATTTATTAGGAAGAGCTTAAGCGCTTAGAGACTTAATTGTAATTTTCGCTATATAAAAAGCTGATTATTATTATTAAATATTATTATTATTATTACAAACAAAAATCATTTTTACGGATATAATTTGAAAAATTATACTAATCTTTATTTTGAAATTTTAGATACTACTAGTGTTCAGTTGTAATACAACATCATGAATGGAAACAACAATGACGATCAAATTGCCATCGTCGGTATAGGTAAGTTTTTCTATTAGGTTGATTCTGTTTATTTTTTTTTTTATAGAATATCAATATGCCTAAAATAATGGATTGTAGGCCTAAATGTAAATATAAGTAGAAAATTAGGCCTAACCTGAAATATTCTTCTGCAATTAGACATTTGAGACAAAATTGTATAGTTAATATTATCTATCACATTGAAATTACTGGATCCGGCCTGTTACGTCACATGCCATGTTGCGACCAGGTATTTTGATAACCAATATATTGCTATCCAGTCTGTTATCACTTAGGCTTTGCCATCCAGCCAGTTGCCAACTTAGTCCGCTGCACTTCAAAATCAGTTGACTCTAGGCCCTAGGGTTTTCCCTGTCCGTAACCTAAGAACTGTGTATAATATGTTTTACTACATTTATTGCATTTGTAAAATCCTTAGAGTTTGTCAATAAATGTAGAAAATACATAACATTACTGAAATATTATTACAGTGGGCTCTGTGCAGACTGTAAGCTCACACCATAGTTCCAGGGCGGAAACCAAACCGGATAGTAAGGGGGCAGCAGGCTGAATTTCGAATCCCAAAATTTGTTATATAAATTTAATCAAATAATATTTCTTCAACACATATGTATATGTTTGTGTTCATTCCTTACTCATGCCTAAAGCATGTATTTGGTTCGTTGATACTGAAAGAATAATGTAAGTTGGAAGAATAAGAAAGACACACATAAGATATGGCTATTTTTTTAATGATTCTATTTTCTCTCTCTAGCTATATTTCAGCTCGCAATAATGTAAATAAATTCATGGAGTTACAACGAAAATTGGAAAGGTATTCCCTTTTGTTTTTATTTCTTTGAAAATTAGGATGTCGAATGCCAGGTGGCGTAACATCAACCGATGAGTTCTGGGATGTTCTTCGAAATGGCAAGGACTGCATTACGGACGTTCCAGCTGGGCGTTGGTCAGTTGAGAAATTTCACGATAGCGATCAGACTAAGCCAGGAAAAATGGTGTCCGGAAAAAGCGGATTCGTAGATGGAATCGAACATTTTGACAACACCTTCTTTAAAACGTCACCAAAAGAAGCGGCATCAATGGACCCTCAACAAAGAATATTGTTGGAAGTAACACACGAAGCCTTTGAAGATGCCGGTATCATACCTGATGACCTAAAATCATGTGGAGTGTTTGTTGGTATTGGGCTGATGGACTACCCAATCCAAACGCTTGATGTTCACTCGTCCACTGTTAACGCATATACTTTGACAGGAACAGCTCACAGTGTCGCAGCAAACAGGATATCGTACGTTTTCAACTTGAAAGGCCCAAGCTACGCCGTTGACACTGCGTGCGCTTCATCGATAACGGCTATGCACCTAGCATGTCAGTCACTGAGGACCAGAGAGTGCGATGTAGCTGTACTTGGAGGAGCCAACGCGCTTATAATTCCAGACACCACCATAGCCTTCAGTGCTCTGGGAGTGCTCTCACCAGACGGGAAGTGTTGTCCATTTTCTGACACAGCAAAGGGTTATGTCAGAGGCGAGGGCTGGGGAACACTTATTCTTAAAACCTTGGATCAAGCTTTGAAAGACAACGACCATATTTATGCCACAATCGTAGGCACATCAATAGCGGCTAACGGGTACAGTCAAAGCATTACCATGCCTTCAATGCCTGATCAACAAAGGATCATTGAAGAAACATATAATCGATTTAATGTCAATATGGCTGATGTAAACTACCTTGAAGCGCATGGGACAGGAACACCAGTTGGAGATCCAATTGAAGCAGAAGCTATCGGAAAATCATTTGGGCCTAACCGTGACGTGCCAATTAAAATCGGATCTGTCAAGAGTAATTTTGGTCACAGTGAATGCGCAGCAGGTGCCGTAGCTACCATAAAGGCGGCACTAATGTTACATAAAGGTTATCTTGTTCCGACAATAAACTACGAAAATCCGAATCACAACATCAACTTGAAAGATTGGAAATTAGAAATACAGACAAAAATAGAACCTTTGCCAAAGCAGAAAAAGGCCATTATTGGAGTAAACAGTTTTGGGTTTGCAGGGGCACTAGCACATGCAATCTTAATGGAGGCACCAAGCCAAGAACCTAAAATGCTGACTGATCCAGTTAATTGGAAATTTGGTGCAAGTGAAAAAGAAGGCAAAACTCTGTTGATTCCTCTGTCAGCCAAGTCACCTGCGGCACTTACAGATCTGGCTATCAAATGGAAAGAATTTGAAAGTGAAGAAGATGCCATGCGTGTGGTTGGATGGCAGGCAACCCGTAGAAAACATCACGAATGCCGTTTAGCAATCTCTGCAAATTCGGGTGCACAGTTTAAAGAGAGACTAGAACAATTTATCACCAATGGATGTGGTGAAGGAATGTCAACCGGGACCACGTACAATCCAGAACACAAGGTATGTTTTATATTTCCAGGACAAGGGCAGCAGTGGATGAATATGGGAAGACAGCTGTACCTGACAGAGCCTGTATTTAGAGAGTCTATCAGAAAGTGCGATACAATCTTCCGCGAAGTAAGTGGATGGTCCCTATTAGAAGACAAAGGTCTTTTTAATGGGCATTTGAGTGGGAAGTGCTACATAAGTGACGAAGAATTCACTGAAATGGAAATAAGTCAACCGGCAGTGCTGTTCCTACAAGTTGGCTTATTCGACTTATGGCGTCATTGGGGCGTGAAACCTGATGTAGTTGTTGGACACAGCTTAGGAGAGATTGCTGCTGCATATTCCTGTGGCGGACTTACTCTTACTGAAGCTGTAAAAGTTGTCTATTACAGAAGTAAAAATCAGGCAAGGTTGAAGGGCACCGGTAGCATGGCAGCAGTCAGACTTACACTAGAAGAAGGAGTGGAAATATGCAAGAAATATGATAACCTGTATATCGCAGCCGAAAACGCTCCGGGGTCACTAACATTAGCAGGATCTGAGGAAAGTATACTTAATATTGTTAATGATGTCAACGTCAAGTCAAAACAGCTTAGAGTGCAATGCGCTTTCCACACACCTATTATGGACCCTATGGAAAAGCCATTTAGAGACTCCATGAATGGAGCTGTTTCAACACCAGCAGGAACCCGATCAGTTCCTATCTACTCAACTCTGACTGGTGAACTCTATGACGGCGACTTTAATACAGACTACTGGTGGAAAAACATTCGAAATGGAGTTAAATTCAGCCCAGCAGTTGAAGGCATTGTTCGTGATATTGAGGCAAACGTCTTTATAGAATTGGGTGCTTCTGTAACACTGGTATCATCTGTAAAACAGATTGGTAAAGGTCAAGGGAAATCTGATCTACTAACTGTATCCACTGGCCAACGGGAACAGGATGACCGAGTTACTAGCCTTTTTGCACTTGGGCAACTATATGCAGGTGGTATGAGCCTCAATTGGAAGAACTTCACACGAGATGCTGCTAGGTGGGTTGATATCCCAAAATACCAATGGCAGCATGGGTCGTTCTGGATTGAGGGTGAAGAGCGCCGTAACAGAAGACTTGGTCAAGACGACCGTACATATAGAGGTCAGAACGGTAACATATCCTTTAGTGTATTTCCTTTCTTAGCTGATCACGTAATCCAAGACAGAGTAATATTTCCGGCCGCTGGATATGTTGAGTACGCTATACAATCTCATTTTTTGGAAGATCAGTTACCTACTTTAAGACATGCTAACTTTAAACGAGTTTGCACTTGGCCAGAGGACACTGACAGTAGTAACAACGCCGTTAGCCTAAATTTGATATGTGTCAAAAATGGCACCCATGTTGAAGTTACATCCAATAGCCTTGTCTACAGCAGTTGTGAACTCTTACACACAAACACCAAAAATACCACCAATGTTAACATTAATACAAAGGAAATACTAGAAAGATGTACCGATCGTCATACACAAGAAGAATTTTACATCAGGATGGCCTCAGTGGGCCTCAACTACGGCCCCACATTCCAGGTAATACAAGAGATGATGGCAGGAGATGGCGAAGCCCTTGGTTATTTATTCCCCGCTGAAAATAACAATCAACGCATACAGACAACACAACTTGACGGTTGTTTCCAACTTCTTTTAAGTACCATAGGAGAAACAACAACCCTATACCTTCCAGTTGGAATCGATAAACTCCAGATGTTTGTCTCAAAGGTACCACCATTCCAACCACTCATGGCCTATGCTAATGTTACTGAATGTGATAGTAAAATGCTAGTTGGTGACGTTATACTATCAACAAAAGAAGGGTGTACATTGGCACATCTTACCGGCGTCAGATGTCAGAATATTAATGGCACAGTATCTGACGTTGATCTAGAAAAATGCTTATACAAGACAATATGGCAACCGTTCAATGCCTGTATGGGAGAGACAACTCTACTTAATGAAGTATTTGACGAAATTGAACAGAAAAAATTACATTCAGTTGAATCAGATGCCATCAAAAGGGCAGAACAATGCGCGCCTTTAATTCGGTCTATATGTGCATCTTATATACGTAATGGCCTGAGGACCGTCGACAAATCAACTTACAAAGTGCATCCTCTTTACGCCGAGCGCTTAAGAGCCATTGGGCACAGTTGATTTTATTGTCTGTATGGACACCATACATTCTGTTGTTGATGTCAATATCGCTCTTGGTAGGATTAAAGATTTATTGACTGATGATGGTCTTTTCTTGATGTACGAAGCTACAAATACACATTATGTTGCTGAACTTGTATTTGGATCACTTGAGCTGTGCTGGGTATATCAGGACTTTAGGACCGACACCTGTTGGTTGTCGAAAGATGGGTGGGTTCAGGCGTTAGAAGATAATGGCTTTACTGATGTTGTAACAGCAACCACTGCTGGAGAGTTTTTTCACTCTATCTTTCTGGGAAAAAAGTATTCAATTATAGAGAGCAATCAGACTATTAAACCTAACATTACACAGCAGATTTCAAAATGTCAACAATACGTAGTTTTCACCGATGGAGAAGCTCATGCTTTTGCTGACAGTCTTACAAAGTACCTCAGTGGATCAGTTGTGACACAGAGGTTCACAGAAATCGACAAGGATGCTCTTACCAAAACCACAGGAATAACAAAGCAAGAAATGATCTATGTCTATAGCGCGACAGACAGTTACTGTCATTCTCTAGTTAAGCTTCTCCAAATTGTTGATAGCACCCCTGAAGCTTTCAACAAATTCTGGGTTGTAACAACAGGCTCGAATAATGGATCGTCAAACATAGAGGGAAGCAAAGCAATCGGTGTTATTCGTGCGATCACGAATCAATGCAATACTCCAATTTACTCTATTGATATTGACCCACATGATACGCCAGCTTCACAAGCGCACCTTTTCTCCAAATACATTATGTCTAATGGTCACAAAGAAAGAGAAGTCACTATCCGAAATGGAGCGTACATTTATCCTAGAATTGTATCAACAACCTTGACCGCTGACACGTCTTCATCGAGCAAACCATACTGGCAATTAACACAGAGCTCCTCGTCGACACTGACGTCTTTAGATGATCTTGGAATCTCATACATCACCGAAATGGTTCCAGAGCCTGGAAAAGTACTAGTTAAAATCAAAAGTGCGGCTCTCAATTTCAAAGATGTAATGATGGCTCTGGGTATGCTTAATGCACTACTAAAGACTGGAGATAAGCAATTTGGCCTTGAGTTTAGTGGCATTGTCGAAAAAGTGGGAGAAGGGGTATCAAGCCTCAAGGAAGGTGATGAAGTTCTTGGCTTTGGTGAACATTGTTTTGCATCGCACTCAATATGTGATGCCGACCTTGTGGTTAAGAAACCACCAAACCTATCATGGGACGAAAGTTCAGGTGTTGGGATCATATTTGCTACATCTTACCACAGTCTTATTGAACGTGCTAATCTTCAAGAAGGTGAAACTGTCTTGATACACTCTGCCTGTGGTGGTGTAGGACTGAGTGCAATACAAGTGGCAAGAATGGCTAAAGCAAATATCATATGTACTGCTGGAACGGTCAAAAAGCGACAGTATTTAAAAGAAAAGCTATGTATCCAGTATGTATCAGACTCTCGCTCTGACACATTTTACAGTGATGTAATGAAATGGACAAACGGCAGAGGCGTTGACGTTGTGCTGAATTCTCTCAGTGGTGATCTTCTGACGAAAGGTGTAGAATGTCTCGCTCCAGGTGGACGATTCTGTGAGATCGGCAAACGTGACATTCTTCAGAATTCAAATCTTCAAATGCAGATTCTTCTTGAGAATAAGACTTTCATCTCAAGTCAGATAGACATTATGATTGACCTGGACAAACCCAGAGCACAAAGGCTGTTGAAAAAAGTATCCGACTTACTTCAAAAAGAAACCCTTAAGCCAATCAAATTTGAAGTTTCATCCATTGAAGATTATCAGGAAGTTTTTTCGAGAACCGCCAAGGGATCACACATTGGTAAAGTAATTTTCAGTATACCTGACAAAATTGAACCTCCTAAAATCAATCCGACTTCAAAATTGTTCAAAAAGAATGCAACATATGTGGTCACTGGTGGATTTGGGGGCATAGGCCTAGCAATGGCCCGATGGCTTGCAAACAAAGGAGCAAAACACATTGCACTTGTTTCACGCCGTGGATGTCACAACTCTGCTGGCAGACGAACACTGCAATATCTCAAGAGTAAAGATGTCACCGTTTACATGTATGATTTAGACTTAAGCAAGAAGGAAAATGTCCGAATGATGTTTAATAGGTTGCAAAAGGACAAAGCACCAACGACTAAAGGCGTATTCCATTTGGCAGGATATATAATTGAGGAAGTTTTTCATAGCTTGACCACATCTGAAATTGACAATATACTTTCTTCAAAGGCTGGCACTGCTCAGCATTTGCATGATCTTACTAATGACATGGCGCTCGACATCTTCTTCATGCTATCGTCTGTGACAACGATGTGCGGCAATTCTTCACAATCTATGTACATAGCAGCGAATAACTTCCTTGATGCACTAGCCATGAAAAGAAAAAATGGGGGGCTTCCAGCTCTCAGTGTTCAGTTGAGCCCAGTAAGAGGAGCAGGTTACTTAGAAGATAAGACTAGCGTTTCAAAAGCTTTGAACATGAGAGGTCATCTGTCACTACACGTCGATGAGTTCTTAGAAGGTTTATCGAATATCCTACAATCACCAAATGCACCCGCCGTCTTGTACCTTGCAAATCAGGTACGTTACCTAATCCAATTTTAGAATGAACCTAATATAATGTAATATTTGTATAGTACCTGTTCAGATTTTGTACTGTAATTTATTCTTGTTTTTACTACAAAAGCAACTTTTTAAGTTTATTCTTTTAATTAGTTTTTAGTATCAGAATTGATTTCAAATTTAGGTTGTTTGACTATCTATGTACAACCTATAATCGTTTAATAATTAGGGTAAAGAGAAATACAATATACTTAGTGCGATGTCAGTAAGTTTAGATATTGCTGCAGTGACAAATGCTTAATTTATAACGTAGGTCAAATATGGAACTATACTATACCAATGCATATGAAGCAGCCTTATATCGCTAAAACATGAGACGCAAATATCAAGTGATAAATTATCCAGATTTTAATTATTTATGTATAAGTAAGTATGTATGTATTTAATTTATGATAATGTTTTGTTGTTTTTGATATAAATTTATTTTAATCATTAATTTACCTTTTGTGCCTCCTTCCATAATTATATACAGGATTGGAATGTGATGCAGATGTTTACCTACCCTGAAAGCATGAAGTTTGTACATCTCGTGATGGGTCAACAGGTTGCTAAGACCGACTGTTCCCTAAGCTTAGAGGATATAGAAAAAAACGTAAAACAAAAAATGGGAAAGTTACTCTGCGTAGAACCAGACAGCATTGACGTCAATCAACCTATGATAAATTACGGAGTCGACTCACTGATGGCAGTAGAAATGGTCACGTGGGCAAGTAAAGAGCTTAATGTTGTGGTCTCTCAGCTTGATATTTTGGGAGGTATAACAACGAAGCTGCTGCTCGAAAAGGCCTTAAATAAAGATGTCGTACTACCACTCAAGTTGAGTGAGACATAACCCTATAATTGCGTTCCTTTGATCTATATTCGCTAGGCATTTCTTACTTTATACTAATGACGCAATATTGTTCAAGCAATGGCAGAATTTTTCATCCAAATCAATATTTGGTGCTTTGTATAATTATACACACACATATATATACATATATATAT